CCCCCCCCCGTCGCCTGCTCCTGAGTACCCCCTCCTCCAACCTGTGCCCCCCTATTTCACCCTCCGGAATTCATTCGTCTTGCAAAACTCCGGAATCCTCCGAGAGGCAAGCAAGGCCGCGAGGCCACCCTTCCCTCTGTCCCCACCCTAGCTCCGATTTGGCTTCTGCCGGTGGTTTCTGCCCCCACTCCCTGTTCCCTTTACTGCTCCTCACCCCCAGCCTACCTTTCAGGCGCCCCCCCACCTCCACCCCCAGCTTTCTTTTGGGCAAAATGGAGGTCGTGGGGGCCGCGAGAGCCGGGCCCACAGAGCTTCGTGGGGCGGCAGCGGCCCGCGCCTTCCAGCTGCCAGATCCCGGGACCCTCTCCTGTCATCTCCCTTTCGCCCCGCCAGACCTGCGGAGGCGGTGACACCCCCGATTTCTCCTTGGGCCCAGTGTCTCCGGAACGGGGGGTTGCCGAGGGGGGCCCTGGGGGGCGAGGGAGGGAGACTGATGGCCAGGAGTGTCGCGTCCGCCCCCAGCGGCTTCCTCCGGCTGTTGCTTATCCTCGGCCCTGGGTCAGGGCTGCTGGGGGCTGGAACGAAGGGCCTTTGTCCCGAGTTGGTGGGGAGAGTCTCTGTGCCCATCTTCTTCCCCGCGGGGCATTCCCTACCGCTGAGCTTAACCGAGGGGGGGCATGTTCGTGGGGAAGAGGAACGAGCGCCCAGCGCCTGGGAAGTGGGAGCTGGGTGGGCAGAATGCTGCGTGCATGGCTCGATCACAACAAGTGTCCGAGAGGGGACAGGATGCCGGGCCCTGGAGCAGGGCCAGCCAAGGCCCCTAGGGCTCCGGTGCTGGGCCTGTGGGATGGGCGCCTGGGGCGCCGGGGGCGCGAGGGCTCGGCCACCTGGGGCCGCCGCTCGCCACGCCGGCGGCGCCTGCGAGAGAACAGCTCTGTGCCTCGGGGCGCGGGACCTCTCTGCGGAGCCCTAATTACCCGCGAGCTGCTCCCGCGGGCTTTCTGCGGGCACGGCGGCACTGGGCGCCCGCCGCGCTGGGAGCGGGACGCCGCTTGCTGCCCTCGCCCCCACCCGCCAGAGGCGGCTAATGGGGCGCAGCCGGCTCGGGGATTATCCGCGGGCGAGCCGTCCCGAACCTATTAGCGCCCAATCGGCTTTTCCCAAATCCTGTAAACAGCCACCCTGGCCTGTTCTGGGGAAGGGCTGGAGGCTGGGCCGGGCGGGGGCGACGGGGCCGGGGGTGGGGTCACCCACTCTACAGGTCTCTGCGGTGGATGTGGTTGCCTTGGCAACGGGACTAGGGTGGGGGCACTTCGCCAATGAGGTGCTCTCAGTCCGGGTGACGGTTGCCTAGGCAACTCCACGAGCAGCCCAGCTTCTCCCTTCGGTTTCCACCCCCACCCCCATCCCCGTCGAAGCCGGGGGTGTGTGGAGGGTGTGCGGCCGGTGGGGGTGAATTGAAAGAGGCACCGCCCCTTTGGAAGTGAGGTGCTGCAGGGTGGTGCCTGGGGCGGACACCAGGTCTGTTTTCGAAGGGACCCCTCCGTCTCCCCCCGCCCAGTTCCTGCCGCGCGGGTGTCCCGCCCGGACTGCTGTCCGAGGGAGGGGTTTCCCCTTCGCTTCCTCTTGCACTCCCCGTTCTGTTTCCGGGGGGCGGGAAGAAGATTGAGGAAGTGAGCTGCGGCTGCAGCTCCTCGTCGGCAACCTTGCTCCGGCCCCAGGGACCCGGGTTCTGCCCCAGGGACCCAGGCCCCGGTCCACCGCCCCCTCCGCGCCCGCCCAGCCAGCGCTTACCCCTTCC